CGGGAAGCAGCGGAGGTTGTGGTGTGAAATATCTAGAGACAGGGTGAACTGCTTGCTCTGGGTGATGGTGCATCCACTGACTTGAGTGTCTCTAGCATTTGAGTGTCTTTAGCAGTTGCACAATACTTCACTAATTTCTCAACTGAAAAACTCTGGAATTAAAAACTCCCTCTCCCAAATACAGTAGCTGGGGTGTCTGGCTTTGTGTGTTGTCTTGTCTGTTAAATAATTATAGAGAGTGTTCCCTGAAAACAAGCTAGATGAGGACACTTTAGTTAGTCATGCTTAACTCCAAGCATCTGCTTCTAAAATAGCCCTGCTTGCTGAAAATGGCCTACCTGTACCTAAAACAGGCAAGATCTCTAGGAGGGCAGTACAGTTCAGTATGCCCACTAACCTGTTTGTGTTTTTTCTTCTCCAGTGTGTAAGTATGTGGCAGTAGAGCTGAAATCTGCCTTTGAGGAAACTGGGAAGACAAAGGAGGTGATTGACACAAAGTATGGCTTTCTAGACGGAAAGGGGTCTGGAATCAAGTACACGCAATCGTAAGTGAATCAGTCAGTGACATCCACTCAGTGGCCCTCTTTGCTTCTCCTCTGGATTAATAAATACCTCCACGAAGAGCATTCACAAGCAGGGGGTGATCTGGCCACCTACCACACTTGGGGGAAAAGGTTGCTTCTCCTGTCTCTAGAGTTATTCGTTTTGGCAAGATATGATGGATGTTGAGTCCCTAGCAGGGTTTAATGGCAGTGGTGCTGCTCCACATGTTACCAAGAATTGCAGATCCGAAGCAAAGTCACGGGGGGTTGTTTGAGCGTAGCAGTGCTGCACAGTTCGAACTCAGGACCTCTGTCATCTGCAGCAAGCTGGACTGAGATTCTGCTGCTAGCTTTCTGTAGCACTCTGGCAATTCTGTGGCAGCTTCACTTACATTTTGAAAGTAGGCTTTTAATTAATTTTAATAGGCGTATCAGTCCAATGGGCCTGGGTCACTGCTGCTAAATTCCATTTCCCTTATGCTTTCCCAATACACTCAACTGTCAACGTGCCTTAGATATCTGCATTGTAGAAGTTGTCATACAAAGGTGGGGATTCTGTAAGCTGAGGAGTGAACACTTGGGGCTTTGGGTACTTGGGATTGTAGGATAACCATATTAGCTGGATTTTTCTGTGGTCAGGGATGAAGTAGTAGCCTAAGTGATAATTATTTAAATTCCAATTCAACTCCAGAGTTAACAGGTCACTGGGAGAGCAGTGGTGCGCTTCCTTAGACCTGCTTCAGACTCTGCCCGCTTGGGCAAACCTCACTGCACCAGTTACGTTCAGTTCACGTTTTCTAGCCCTCACAATTGAGAAGGGAAGAGAGCCTCGTAAAACAAGAACTGAGATTCCGAAGCACATTTCTGTGATGAACATTACTGCTGCAGAATACATGGCCCTGATCGGAGCCCTCAGGCAGTCTCTAGGCTAATAATCAAAGCTTGAAACAGCCACTTGCCAACACAAGACTTTTCTCAGCGAGGGGGAAGTTCAAGCCATCAGTTTCTGCAGAATTTCTGCTTCCATTGACCCTCTTCTGCCAGATGTAGGACGGTGCCAGTTGTCATTGCTGTTAATCTCAATTTTTGTCAAGGCAGTTAGGTCCTATTGGGGCTGTGCATAGAGACCGTTTGGGCTGAGGCTTAAACAAGACATCTGCCTGCTTCTTAGGTGTTTTGCACAGGGAACCCACTATGCTGCTGCTCAGGGTCTGCACTGGCTGGCAGTATGTTTCTGGGTGTGGTTCAAAGTAGTGACTCTAACCTACAGAACCCTGAATGGCAGGGGCCACCTGTCTCCCCCTCTGTGACAGCAGAGGTGGAGCCCTTGAAGTGTAAATGGGAAGTTGCTCCTAACAGGATACTCTCTCAAGGCCTGTTGACTTTGGAAATAGCTTCCCCACCCTTGGTTTGCCACTGCCTGGCTTTGTGAGCTTCCAGTCATGCTGCAAAACCCGCCTCTTCTCGGAGGGAAGGGGTGTGCTGATAAACAGACCAGGTTTGTCCAGTGTGGGCAGTTACTGCTTCAGGATCACTCGGCAGCTTATGTTCCTGTTGGAGGAGGCAGTTCAATTCATGTGGGACGGTATTAATTTTCTAATTGAATGTAATTGTTTTTCAAGACCTTGTTAGCTTGAAATCTAGTCACTTTCAGAACTCCAGGGATGTTACCTGCCCCTGAAGCATGTCTGCATTGGAGCTGAAGGGCTGATTTCCTGCACTAACTCTGATCAAGCTAGCTTGCTAAAAACAGCTGCCCCAAAGATGATCCTGTCCGATACCCTAGGTATGTACTCAGGGCTGCTAGCCCGCCAGCACCATCATGGCTACGCTTCTATTTTTAGTGTGCTAGCTCAGTCAGCGCTATCGAGAGTATGTCTACTCAAGCTTGACGTTACACTTCCAGCTGCAGTACAGACAGACCCTGAGTCCCCCTTGCCAACTTCTGTGGTTTTACAACCACACTCTTCTCTTCAAATGTTTTTCTCCTCGGCCACTGTGAGGAAATACAGATACAAAGAGAAGAAACTGGCTATGGTGAAACAGTAATCCTGGGGGGAGGGATAGCTCAGTGGTTTGAGCATTGGCCTGATAAACCCAGGGTTGTGAGCTCAATCCTTGAGGGGGCCACTTAGGGATCTGGGGCAAAATCAGTACTTGGTCCTGCTAGGGAAGGCAGGGGGTTGGACTCGATGATCTTTCAGGGTCCCTTCCAGTTCTATGAGAGAGGTATATCTCCATACTTTTTTAAATATAAGGTTGCTGTGTACACATGGTGTGTATTGCACACAAAGTAAACACACTTTTTTCATTTGCCCTGGTTATAAGTTTCAGCGTAGCAGCCGTGTTAGTCTGTATGCGCAAAAAGAACAGGAGTACTTGTGGCACCTTAGAGACTAACACATTTATTAGAGCATAAGCTTTCGTGGACTACAGCCCACTTCTTCGGATGCATATAGAATGGAACATATATTGAGTTTATAAGTGTTACCGGTAACAATAGTGGGTAAACAACTTCAGGCGCCAGTGAGATATTGTAAGTTGATGGGGGCCCTTTAATATGTGTCTGGTACCTAGGGTATAAGATTGGGGCTGTACATTATGTTTTGAGCCCTCAAGATTGCAAAGATCTGCCAAACATGAATTGCCTGAGTCTACAGCAGGCAGCTCCAGTCAGTTGCTCAGAGTTTTCCTGTGCAGTGGACGAGACACTAGTGGTTTCACAGCTACTATTCAGACCTTTGAGGGCAAAAATGCACCTTCTAATGTTAGTTCCATTCTGCTGCTGCTTGGCAAAGCTCTGGGCAGGAGCAGAGGCTGGCTCTGACGCTAGCAACATGGGATAAGGACCAGAAAATGAAGGTGGTGATGGGGGTTATGCAGCAGAGACCTCTTCTCCCCACACCTCCCTTGCAGTAGCCAGGAGTCTCTGGGAGAGGAGTGAGGTTGCCAGGAAGCTGTGATGGAGGAGATCGTCCCTCTTTCAATAGCTAGATGGAGGTAGGGGCGGCACAGGGGTGGAGCCCCCACCCCTTTACAGTAGCCAGGGGCTGTGGCGGTAAGAAGAGGGATCTTTTTCCCATTGGCACTTGGAGGGAGGAGGGTTTGCAGGCAGGCAGTGGCGTTCCAGTTGATTAGGCACTTGCCATCAAGAGGCCGATACCTTCTGGAAAGTGGAGCCTTTAAGCCGGCCCAGGACCAGCAAGCTGCAGAGACTAGCCACTTCCCCAGCCCCCTCATCTTGTGTCCATCTCTAGCCAGTGGTCTTAGTCCTCAAGCTAGAATTTTTGTAGCCCTGTTAATGGACTGTAGCCTTTCTTGGGGAGCGGTACTAAATCCTTCCCCGTTTCACCAACTTTTCCTCGGCGCAGGGATATCCGACTGATCGAGGTGACAGAGACCATCTGCAAGAGACTGTTGGACTATAACCTGCACAAAGAGAGAACTGGCAGTAACCGGTTTGCAAAGGTTTGTACCATTGCTTGTTCCCTCTCACTGGAGCTTTAATCAGACACCCCTAGGCCTTGCCGAGAGCATCCATGTTTGTGTCCTTGGTCTGCATCTGCGAAACAGACTTCCCAGGTATAGAATTAGCTTCTAATGGAAGCTGCTCTGTTCTCTCCCTCCCTCAACTTGCTAGTGTAACCACCTCTCCATGGCCCTGCTGGTGGGTGGCATGCAGCCAAGAGGCCTGGTGGGGAGGTGTAGCAGACCTATTCTCATGGCTGGAGTGGGGGGTGCTCAGGAAGGTGTGTACTGAGTGGCTTCTCCCACCTCTGGTTTGGGGTCAGGTGCCGATTAACAATTCCATTGTAAAAGTGTAGGTCGAGATCGCTAGCAGCCCAAGTTAACGCGCCACTCCAGTAATGTTAAAGCTAAGGATAGTCCCATCCTCTGGACTGTCCCGTGTCTGTTTGCGTTGTGGCTTTGCACCTGCCAGGGTTTCGAGGGAAGCAGTGTGATCTGCTATCAGTGTGGCAGAGAAAGCTGTGAAACCCTGAATCTTGCAAGGCCTGTGCACAAGGGGGCAGTGTGTCCCAGAGAACCGTTTGGGTTTGGTTGGGTTTGCCTTTCCCAAAGGCACTTCGTGCAGTCTCAGGGCTGGGCCCAGGGGTCCTGTCTGTGATGGAAGAGGTAGGGTTCTGTAGAGACTACATCCGCCCAGAGAATGAGCTGGGGCTTTAGCAATGGGGAAGCAAGGCTTCCCTTTCCAAAGGACTGTGTGGTACTGCTGTACCCCACGGTGACTTTATCCTTTTACAGTCAGGCCTGTCCCTTTAGCGGTCCCCTCTCGGCTCACATCCAGGCCACGTCTGATTCCTGCCACTGCTTCCTCTGGAACGCTGCTGGGATCCAGCCTTTTCTGCCTGTTCAGACAGCCAAGCCTCCTCGTGGGCTGCCAAGGACTGCATCCTCCTTGCTACCCATATTGCACCAGCCATTTGAAAGAGGGCTGCTAGGACCATCTTCCCTGGCCATCGCTCATACTGTCACCCTCCTATGAGTCGCTCCCCTGACTCCACACCAATAGCAAGCTGCTTGACCTTTTAGGCCCTCCCCAGCTCTGCCCCTCCCCTCTTATATCCCCCCCCCCTTCAGCAGGAATGCAGCCTCTTCCTCCGACTTGTCTGCTCCTCATGTATGGAACGTCCTCCCCAAACTGAACCAGACAGCTACTGAGCTCTCCTCCTTCAAACCCTGCATCTAGAACCAGGACGCTGACAAGGAATCAGCCACCGCGTTAGCCGCCTTGGGGGCAGATGAGGAAAGTCCGTGCTCATTCAGTCATGGAAGCACACACTTCAAATAAGTGTGATAGCCTTCTCCCCTGCCCTCCTCCTCAGGCTGGTCATCTTCGGTGGCATGCTCTTCATGTCTGTCAAGCAGCAAGCGTGTTAGGGTCCTAGTCCAGCTGGAGCTGCTGGGTGCCGTACAGAGGAGGGCAGGTAGCAGATAAGGCCCAGGCTTTCACACCCTCCTGAGAAGTGGACAGGCTGCTCAGCCACTTGCCCCTGAGGCTTCTCCCTTCATGCTGCACTGGTCCAACGACTCCTGGTGTGGGTGCTGGTGCTGCACCCCCTCTTCTGCAGGGCTCTGAGCTGGCTCCCACGTAGGGGAGCTGCGTGTGAGTTCTCCTCTCTCCCTGAGTTCCTGGTGGGTGGCGCAAGCGTCATGTGGGTGGAGCTGGGATTCTGCCCGTCCCTGAAGGTGGGGCACTCAGGTTACTGTGTCTCCTTAGGGAATGTCGGAGACGTTTGAAACCCTGCACAACCTGGTGCATAAGGGGGTGAAAGTGGTGATGGACATCCCCTATGAGCTGTGGAACGAGACTTCTGCTGAAGTGGCTGACCTCAAGAAGCAGGTACTGTCCACACGGTAGCACAGTGTCACTGGGGGCGCTAGCGCGGAGTGCAGTAATGGCTGGGAGGCCCCTGTGCTGCAGTGTCTAGGACTCTTTCTGCTGGGCCGGGGGAGATCTTGGAAGATGGGCTCAGGCTGAGTGGGGGTGTCGTACTCCAAGAGTTCACCGCAGCGTATGAGCGGTCCCTCTTTGGGAAGCTCGTCCTGGAGCTGCGCTTGCTCCCCACGTTGTGAGGGGCCCAGGGAGTGGGGTTAGTAGGAAGGTCTCCTGGTGCTGGACTGTGCTTTCTGTCTGCACTAGTGTGATGTGCTGGTGGAGGAATTCGAAGATGTGATCGAGGACTGGTACAGGCATCACCAGAAGGAAGACCTGGCTCAGTTTCTCTGTGCGAACCATGTGCTGAAAGGGAAAGACACAAGTGAGTTTCACTTCAGCAAATACAAGGGGGCATTGGCCTCCAAGCAGAGGCAGCACGCGTGCTCCAGTGCCAGGGTGATGGGTGCAGCAGGGGAGTCCGAAGAGCATTGAAACACTCTCTGTGAGAGCAGGAAGGGGGCACAGGGTGGGGAGAGGAAACCCGACAGACTCACTCCTCCCTTTTCTCCATTATGTCATTCCTACAGGCTGCCTGGAAGAGCAATGGGCCAGCAAGAAGGGAGATGTAGCGACCACGGGGGAGAAGAAGACAAAGAAAAAGGGTGGCAAGAACAAGAAACCAGCAGAGAGGAAAAAGAAAAACAAGAAGGAGAAGGTTGAGGAAGC